ATATTTTAATTGGATGCATGGAGTTTGCATGACCTCGATAATCAAGGTTGTGCAGGTAGAAGAAACCTTCAGCATCTTTCATTTTATGCACTACTGGAGAAGCAAACCTTAGAAGGAAAATCCAACATATACAAAAATGATATGATTTGTGATTACAATTCTGTCCCAATAAAATTTTATATATACTTTCAGATGTTATTGGAAGTATTAGTATCTTAAAAGACAATATAGAAAAGCAATTGGAACCTACTTTGAGCTTGACGTCACAGCGTTGTGAGAAGTTTATCTAGTCTCCTCTTGACAGATTTTGGTATCCAATTCCACTTCGCGGGTAGTGCATCATCTTCTATATCTGGTTCTTTTGGCAAAGAACTTGGAAATGACAGAAACTATGACAATTGTAATTTGTTGCTTGAACGATTACACAACTTATTAGATTCATTTACTTAGCAATGAAAAAGAAAGTACCTTTTGAATCTTAATAGGATAGTTAATGTGTAAAGTAACTAACATCATCATGGGCAACCAATCAGTAGACGACCACCACTATCCCATGTTCTATCAACAACAGAAACTACCCTTTTATTTATCCTCCATTTGCTACATCCCAGAGTATCAAGAGCCTAGATACGATAAGAAGAACAAATATCTCTATTTTCATGATGGGAACAAACAAAGCAAACACAATCTCTAGATTTAAGATTGAATTTAATCATTGATTCATGAACTTCAAAAACTGGTTGTAACCATTTTCTAGGGCCTTTTTTCACTGCTTTACGTTATTTTCTTTGCTCTCTGTGTCTGCAGCATATTGAAAGCAGATAGAGCTGTCCAACCTTGTTATGACAGAAAATAAAAAGAAAGGGTACCCATAACTATATGTAAGTAAAAGAAAGTGCATGATATTATTATATCTTGCGTCCTTGTCCATTTCAATGGAGGTACTAACATCACTATGTGTCTGGCCTGCTGGTGCCATAAAGGTGAACAAACCATTGAGGAATAGTTCTTAAATAAAGAAGTTCAATATTTCAAGCCTAGCTTGTCAACAAAAGAAGTTTTTAGATGAGTCATATAGCTCCTAAAGAAAAAACATTACTTACATTTTGTTGAACTCCGTTGAAAGTCAGTGCGACACCTTGGATAGTACCAAATCTTCTGCACGCACTTCCTGGAAAAAATCCTACGATTATCATCAACTCGTTGTCACAAAAAAAAAATGGCATGGACGAAAAGGAAATTAACCAGCACTTTATTTCTTTTGTTGAGTTCTAATGTTGTGTACAAAGATAGGTTGACTGTTAGATGGACAACATCACTTCAATCCACGTGTGTTTTAATGCAAAGGCCACAACATCACCTTCGAACTTACAGCAAAAAGCAGAGCTCCATCCTACCAGATCAAACCGCTCTGTTCTCCGTCCTAGCCTCTGCTCCTCGGTTAGTTTCTTCCCCTCGCTCTGAATTTTTTTATATCTTTCTTTCGATCTTCTTTCTATGTTCTCAGTTGGACTGTAAAACTACTTTGCCTTTTGTCAATTTTTATTGCACTTTACTGAGCTTTTGGTTTTTGCGCTTCTTTTTGTTTCTTATTTTTCACTACTTTTTGTCTGATGCGAATCATTTTTTCACCGGCTATTGACTTCATCTATTGTTACTCTGCTTGGTTGAGTTCTATTCTGATTTTTTTCTTTACTGTTACAAGATTCAGTATTTGCTAATTCAATGACATTCAGTAAATCCACAGTCCACAAAGACCCTTTACACACACAAGGAGAGAAGATAAAACTTGTAAAGAATCTGAAATGACACTTTGAAGAAAAATATGAATTGAATTTAAGAAAACTAATTGAAGAACCTAAAAAAGGATTCTGTCAAATAATAAGACTTGAACTTGCTTTTGGCTCAATTGGCTTCTTGATAACTTTATAAAATCTTAAAAGTTTTGAAAGTGAGATTCGGTATCTTTATGCTGATTCTCAATAATTAGACTGCTGAAAGCAAGAAATTTAACCATGTATTCGATAATTTCATGCTTTATGACATCACTTTTTGGTGCTGGTTTTTTAACATTAATAATACTTACATGTTCTCATATATATATATATATGTAAGCATATCTTGAACATGATAATCTTACATGTAATTGCCATAGAAAACATACCTGAAGCGGAATCCATTATCTTGAAGCGGAAGCGTTAGTTCAAAACTGGTTTCTCGCCCCTTGCCCTGGTTTCTCGCCCCTTGCCCTAACTTTATGTTACCGCCGCCTTTAGAGATGGAAGAGAGAATAAAAATACGGTAACCCTAATGGGTGGGGAGAGGACCAATTTATAGAGGTTCTCACTTAATCTGGTACGTCCATCAAGTAACCGATCGGACGGATGAGATTTGCTCATTAATTAAATATTAATTATGGGCTTAATCTTATTGGGCCACATACACGTAAGAAAATGGTTTACATTCTCCCACTTGGCCCAATAATCACATAATATTAATATTTAATATAGGAACATTAGTTGTGCATAAACAAATCTCTTCTATAATGTCCATCATAAATACCACAATACGATAAACTAGTAAATGTGAGTTATGGCGGTTATACATAATTTGTCTACATACTCCCTTCCATATACTACAACATTAGTAATTTATCATATCAGGTTCATAAGCTATAAAATATTATGGTCCACAATAATGTCTCCTTGAGACTTATCCTGTAATATCTCAAAACAATAATGTGTACACCATTATGAGAAACA